CAAACCTGGTTGAAATAACGTTATAACAATCATTTTACAACCAGAATCTCCACTATCTTTAAAACCATAATTACAGCCACATCAATTCCTCCCATACCCAAGACCTCTTTGTTGACTCCCTATTGCATATCTAGACTGCCCAAGTGTGGTCTGGTCAGTAACAGACAACAGAGATTTCCCCAGTCACTAGTGGCACCAAGATCGACGAACTCCGGGCAAGGATTTCTTTCCAGAGAGACATCAAGGCCTGTAACATACTTTGTTTCATGGAAACATGGCTCTCTTGGGATATTCTGTCGAAATCGGTCCAGCCAGAGGGTTCTCAGTTCATCGCGCAGACAGGAATACATCTCTCTCCAGGAAGCAGAACGGCGGAGGTGTGTGTTTCATGATTAACGACTCATGGTGTAATTGTAGTAACATACAGGAACTCAAGTCCTTTTGTTCACCGAACAAAGAATATCTCACAATCAAATGCTGACCGTATTATCTCCCAAGATAATTTTCTTCAGTTATAGTCACGGCCGTGTATATCCCCCCTCAAGCCGATACCACGACGGCCCTCAAAGAACTTCACTGGACTTTATGCAAACTGGAAACCACATATCCTGAGGCTGCATTTATTGTGTAAGAGTGTCTGCTAAATGATGTAAATGTAATTGTAGCCGGAGCTTTTAACAAAGCAAATTTGAGGACTAGGCTGCCGAAGTTCTATCAACATATCGACTGTTGTACTCGCGCTGCCAAAATCCTCAACCATTGCTATTCGAACTTCCGGGATGGTTATGAGGCCCTCCCCCGCCCTCCTTTTCGGCAAATCTGACCACGACTTCATTTTGCTCCTTCCTTCCTATAGGCAGAAACTCAAACAGGAAATGCCCGTGCTAAGGACTATTCAACGCTGGTCTGACCAATCGGAATCCACGCTTCAAGATTGTTTTGATCACGCGGACTGGGATATGTTCCGGGTAGCTTCCGAAAATAATTTAGACGAATACACTGAAACGGTGACTGAGTTTATCAGGAAGCGTATAGGTGATGTTGTGCCCACTGTGACTATTAAAACCTACCCTAACCAGAAACCGTGGATAGATGGCAGCATTCACACCAATCTGAAAGCGCAAACCACCGCATTCAACCATGGCAAGGTGACTGGGAATATGGCAGAATACAAACAGTGTAGCTACTCATTCCGCAAGGCAATTAAACTGGCAAAACATCAGTATAGAGACAAAGTGGAGTCGCTATTCAACGGCTCAGACACGAGACGTATGTGGCATGGTCTACAGACAATCACGGACTACCAAAGGAAAACCAGCCACGTCGCCGACACGACGTCTCGCTTCCAGACAAGCTAAACACCCTTCTTCGCCTGCTTTGAGGATAACACAGTGCCGCTGACGAGACCCACAACCAAGGACTGTGGCCTCTCCTTCTCCGTGGCCGATGTGAATAAGACATTTAAGCATGTTAACCCCCGCAAGGCTGTCGGCCCAGACGGCATCCCTAGCCGCGTCCTCAGAGCATTCGCAGACCAGCTGGTTGGTGCGGTTATGGACATATTCAATCTCTCCCTTTCCCAGTCTGCTGTTCCCACATGCTACAAGATGGCCACCATTGTTCCTGTACCCAAAAAAGCAAAGGTAACTGAACTAAATGACTTGCCCTGTACCACTCACCTCTGTCATCATGAAGTGCTTTGAGAGACTAGTCAAGGATCATATCCCCTCTACCTTACCTGTCACCCTAGACCCACTTCAATTTGCTTACCGCCCCAATAGATCCACAGACGATGCAATCGCCATCACACTGCACATCCCATCTGGACAAGAGGAATACCTATGTAAGAATGCTGATAATTGACTATAGCTCAGCATTCAACACCATAGTACCCTCCAAGCTCATCAAGCTCGAGGCCCTGGGTCTGAACTCCGCCCTGTGCAACTGGGTCCTGGACTTCCTGACGGGCCGCCCCCAGGTGGTGAAGGTAGGAAACAACATCTCCACTTCGCTGATCATCAACACTGGGGCCCCACCAGGGTGCGTGCTCAGCCCCCTCCTGTACTCCCTGTTCACCCATGACTGCGTGGCCAAGCACGCCTCCAACTCAATCATCAAGTTTGCAGACGACACAACAGTAGTAGGCTTGATTACTAACAATGACGAGACCGCCTACAGGGAGGAGGTGAGGGCTCTGGGAGTGTGGTGCCAGGAAAATAACCTCTCACTCAACGTCAACAAAACAAAGGAGATGATCGTGGACTTCAGGAAACAGCAGAGGGTGCACCCCCCTATCCACATCAACGGGACCGCAGTGGAGAAAGTGGAAAGCTTAAAGTTCCTTGGCATACACATCACCGACAAACTGAAATGGTCCACCCACTCAGACAGTGTTGTGAAGAAGGCGCAACAGAGCCTCTTCAACCTCAGGAGGCTGAATAAATTTGGCTTGGCACCTAAAACCCTCACACACTTTTACAGATGCACAATTGAGAGCGTCCTGTCAGGCTGTATCACCACCTGGTACGCCAACTGCACCGCCCGCAACCGCAGGGTTCTCCAGAGGGTGGTGCGGTCTGCCGAACGCATTATCGGGGGCAAACTACCCGCCCTCCAAGACACAAACAGCACCCGGTGTCACAGGAAGGCCAAAAAGATCATCAAGGACATCAACCACCCGAGCCACTGCCTGTTCACCCCGCTATCATCCAGAAGGCGAGGTCAGTACAGGTGCATCAAAGCTGGGACCGAGAGAATGAAAAACAGCTTCTATCTCAAGGCCACCAGACTGTTAAATAGCCACCACTAGCTCATTAGAGGCTGCTGCTGCCTATTGAAATCACTGGCCACTTTAAGAGATGGAACACTAGTCACTTTAATAATGTTTACAGTCACTTTAATAATGTTTACATATCTTGCACTACTCATCTCATATGTATATACTGCATTCTATTCATTTCATTACATTTTAGTCATTTAGCAGACGCTCTTATCCAGAGCGACTTACAGTTAGTGAGTGCATACATTATATATTTTTTTCATACTGGCCCCCCGTGGGATTCAAACCCACAACCCTACCAACATCCCCTATTCTATAATATTGTACTGTACTCTACTTAGTCCATGCCGCTCTGTCATTGCTTGTCCATATATGTATATTTTCTTAAATTCCATTCCTTACTAGTTTTGTGTGTATTAGGTATATGTTGTGAAATTGTTCGATATTACTGCACTGTCGGAGCTAGAAGCACAAGCATTTCACTACACCCGCTATAACATCTGCTGAACATGTGTATTTGACAAATAAAATGTGATTTTATTTGATTGTTCTGATGTGTCTCACACCCCAGGCCAGAGTCTGGTTTAGAGGCAAAACAAGGAGACACATTAGACTAGACCACATACTTGTCATTTCTTATTTTGTTCAATATGGCATTGTACAGTGTACCTTTGTTTTCAAAGGTCATCTCATAGCTTAGAAAATGTCAATTCTCAAGGTTGTTGTCAAGAATCCTTTAATTTGGTGTGTGTGTGTAGTGGGGGTCCTCAAAAGGGATAGCAACATGAGTGTTCACCTGAGGTAAAGGGGAATCCTGTGGGAGTGACTGTTGATGGAGTGGCTGGGTCAGGTCTCAGCAGCGCTGCACAGGGCACACAGACAGCCAGGCGGGGGTGGTTTCCCTGCAGTGTCCAGTCTATCATGCCATTGCTGTTTTTCCACCTCACCTCCACAATGAGGCCATTCATCAGCACACACAGCGGAACTGTGAAAACCTTTGCCTAGGCACCCTGAAACAATGGGCTTGTGGCAAACCAGCTGGACGCCTGTGACTCATCCAACAGGGCTGGGGTGCAGACAGTCAAGTCGACTCACAATCACCACCTCACACTGCACAAAGCAGCTATTAAACTAGGATTATATTTCATAATAGAGTAGGATTTTCTCTGTAGATGGAACAGTGCCATCCGAAACCTGTGGATGAAATGCTTTCAGTTGAAGCGCAAGATGATTTATGCTGTTATTGAGTAGGGGTGTTGTGGTTTGCATTGTTACGTATGTGGAAAGCACCCGCATGAACATGTTGTGGGTGTTGGGGTATTCCAAGTCTTAGATCCCTGAAGAGATTATTGCTCAATTATGAATAGGTTTATGGCTGTTGTGTTCTGTTTGGCTGGTTTTTATAACAATGCTACAATCTAAAAAACATATTTCCATAGCCCAATATTATGGTGCATTATTTTTTTCTGATTTATGAATGGAATATTTATCTGTAATATTTTTGAAGGCGCAAAATGTTTTTTTCAGAATGATTTTACAACGTTGAAAATATCACTGACAGAATATCCATAACCATTCAGGAACTGTTTACATGTTCCATGTTTCCGTCGGTGTTGGTTTAAAGGGTACACACATTTTATAACGACCTCGATTTAACGACATTCATCCTTCCCTATTACAGTTTTGTCACATGCCTATTCATTTACCAGGCTTTATTTACAAACTAATATTGTTCAAGGAGAAATTACAGTGGACATAACGCTACTTATCTTTGAACAGTAGGCTACTTCAAAGAAAAACGGAAGTTGCCTGTATGAAGGAGCAACCGCAAGTTACCTGTAAGTCTACAGTCACAATTTAACTTACATTCTTAATCCGATCATTAATTTATATGATCGTAACAATTGATATTGATCACATAAAAGGAATTGATATATACTTCCAGAGAGGCAAGCACATCTCGTTTGTCGACGTCCTGTAGGGCGGGAGCGTTCCAGATCGTCTTTTTTGCAGTCGGGCTGTGCTTCTCAGAAGATTGCTCTATCATCATATTAATGCAATTCTGGGAACATTCAAAATTTCTCTAGGCGTTGTGAGCTCTGACAATATCAATGTTTGACTGCAATAAAGACGACCTGAAATGTTCCCAATTAATTGTCAACCAATTGTTCTGCTATTTCACAGGAGCATATTGAGGAGGAAGTAATTCTACAGGGGCAGTATGCCCCCATTACCAGGTGCTGAGTTGGTTCGTACGCCAGTTCACCTGTACCGTTACCTTCTTAGATGTTGCAAGCAATTGCCAACCCGAGCAATGCAGCAACATTATCAACATGCTATAAGACAGGTAAAGTCTATTAGAGTTGTTACAGCATAGGCTACTGCATCATATAATGTATAACTTAGACATATCTGATTGTATTGCATGTTACAAAAAGCTAGATTATAATGGCCAAGCTTGGTCAACAATTATTTTTTGTATTATTTGTATTATTATTGTATTATTTATCAAACTAGGGTTACAATAGTCACACAGACGAAGACGATCCTGAGAGGATTCAACTGATCATACAAAGAGCTATATCAGATGCAGATTGGATTCTCGACAAAGTGAGCATTGCCTTTTGTTTTCAAACTCATTTTAATTGACAAATCAGACAACAGTATATGGAAAGACTAACTTTGATAATTTCTCATTCTGTTGTGTTTTCCAGTATAAGAAGAAATTAGATGTGTGAAATTTGAGGACAAGGAGGAAATAAGAGGACAAGACTGCTGGCTCCATGGGACATGTTCCATTTGGAACAAATCTTGATCAAAACAGGATTTTGCTTGTTCTGCCACGCAAGAAACATCCCAGGGACAGACGCATCATGCAATGTGGCAATAAGAGAAGTGACGTTTCCCAACCCTCTACTGAGGGACTACCAGACAGTCCACATTTGTGTTCTAGTGCTGCACTACACACCTGATTCAACTAGTTAAGGGCTTGGTGATTTGTTTATTCAGGTGTGTTAGTGCAGGGCTTGAACCAAAATGTGGGATGTCTGGTAGTCCCCAAGTAGAGGGTTGGGAAACACTGACATACAGTGGCTTGCAAAGTATTCACCGAAAGTATTGTATCATTTACACAACATGCCTACCACTTTGAAGATGCAAAATATTTTTTATTGTGAAACAAACAAGAAATAAGACAAAAAAACAGGAAACTTGAGTGTGCATAACTATTCACCCCCCCCCCCCCCCAAAGTCAATACTTTGTAGAGCCACCTTTTGCAGCAATTACAGCTGCAAGTCTCTTGGGGTATGTCGCTATAAGCTTGGCACATCTAGCCACTGGGATTTTTGCCCATTCTTCAAGACAAAACTGCTCCAGCTCCTTCAAGTTGGATGGGTTCTGCTGGTGTACAGCAATCTTTAAGTCATACCACAGATTCTCAATTGGATTGAGGTCTGGGCTTTGACTAGGCCATTCCAAGACATTTAAATGTTTCCCCTTAAACCACTCGAGTGTTGCTTTAGCAGTATGCTTAGGGTCATTGTCCTGCTGGAAGGTGAACCTCCGTCCGTCCCAGTCTCAATTCTCTGGAAGACTGAAACAGGTTTCCCTTCAAGAATTTCCCTGTATTTAGCGCCATCCATCATTCCTTCAATTCTGACCAGTTTCACAGTTCCTGCTGATGAAAAACATCCCCACAGCATGATGCTGCAACCACCATGCTTCACTGTGGGGATGGTGTTCTCGGGGTGATGAGAGGTGTTGGGTTTGCGCAAGACATAGCGTTTTCCTTGATGGCCAAAAAGCTCAATTTTAGTCTCATCTGACCAGAGTACCTTCTTCCATATGTTTGGGGAGTCTCCCACATGGCTTTTGGTGAACACAAAACGTGTTTGCTTATTTTTTTCTTTAAGCAATGGCTTTTTTCTGGCCACTCTTCCGTAAAGCCCAGCTCTGTGGAGTGTACGGCTTAAAGTGGTCCTATGGACAGATACTCCAATCTCTGCTGTGGAGCTTTGCAGCTCCTTTAGGGTTATCTTTGGTCTCTTTGTTGCCTCTCTGATTAATGCCCTCCTTGCCTGGTCTGTGAGTTTTGGTGGGCGGCCCTCTCTTGGCAGGTTTGTTGTGGTGCCATATTCTTTCCATTTTTTAATAATGGATTTAATGGTGCTCCGTGGGATGTTCACAGTTTCGGAGATTTTTTTATAACCCAACCCTGATCTGTACTTCTCCACAACTTTGTCCCTGACCTGTTTGGAGAGCTCCTTGGTCTTCATGGTGCCCCTTGCTTGGTGGTGCCCCTTGCTTAGTGGTGTTGCAGACGCACGTGTGTGTATATATACTGAGATCATGTGGCAGATCATGTGACACTTAGATTGCACACAGGTGGACTTTATTTACCTAATTATGTGACTTCTGAAGGTAATTGGTTGCACCAGATCTTATTTAGGGGCTTCATAGCAAAGGGGGTGAATACATATGCACACACCACTTTTCTGTTATTTATTGTTTAGAATTTTTTCTAACATTTTTGATTTTTTTTTCACTTCACCAATTTGGACTATTTTGTGTATGTCCATTACATGAAATCCAAATAAAAATCTATTTAAATTACAGGTTGTAATGCAACAAAATAGAAAAAACGCCAAGGGGGATGAATACTTTTGCCAGGCACTGTAAGTATACCTGACACTTCTAGTCCTCAAAGTAAGATTTGCCTTTTAACCTCTTCACAACTGTTCAACCTGCAAATGTTGTCCACTTACGTTGATCTAATGTGTATTTATGATTGTTACTACAAAAATCTAATGTTTGTCTATGCGCCAATGTTACAACTCTCATCCTGCTACTGTATCGTATGTTGAGTCTGTATTCATCATATGTAAACCATAACACTAGCTAGGTTTCCATCCAATTGGCGTCAGATTGTCATGCGAATATTCTAAAATCCACATTTATTTTCATTGTTTCGACCAATATTACTTGTTTGCGGATACAAATCAGTGCGTGATGACACGGTGCACACACAATGTAAATAAAAATCTCAAGTTCAATGTGTTTCAAATAAAATCAGATTCCCTCCCTCTCGTAAAGATTGCGTCATCATCCCTTCATTCCCCGTATCATATTTGAGGAAATACTAAAAATGAAATAAATATTTGAGGAAATACCATAGACTGATTAAATATTGTTTTGTATGAAATGTTATTGTGCGTAATTGTTTTTATATTCAAATACAGATCACACAACACCTGTAGTAATGACAGGATTCATTTGAAACTTCACTCGCAGTAAAACTTTCATATGACTTAATAACAGCTTACAATTATTTTGTAATTGGAGTGGGGGGAAAATACTTGTGCATTGATAAGCACACCAAAGAAACTATATGTTAAGAAAGACGGCACTTGTAATGGCCCATGTCACACCATAGCCTGCTGAATTTGCAGGTTAACTTTCCCTTTTTGATTTAGGCTAAAATGAAAACGTGGCACCGAGTCACCATGGATTGTTTCAGCATTGTCTCAATCAAGAGTTGTGCAGCCTCTGGTAAGACAAGGGGTGGCGGTCTATGTATATTTGTAAACAACAGCTGGTGCACGATATCTAAGGAAGTCTCAAGGTTTTGCTCACCTGAGGAAGAGTATCTCATGATAAGCTGTAGACCACACTATCTACCAAGAGTTTTCATCTATATTCTTCGTAGCTGTCTATTTACCACCACAAACCGATGCTGGCACTAAGACCGCACTCAATGAACTGTATACGGCCATAAGCAAACAGGAAAACACTCATCCAGATGTGGCGCTCCTAGTGGCCGGGGACTTTAATGCAGGGAAACTTAAATCAGTTTTACCTCATTTCTACCAGTATGATAAATGTGCAACCAGAAGCCATGGATTACAGGCAACATCCGCACTGCGCTAAAGGGTAGAGCTGCCGCTTTCAAGGAGCGGGACTCTAACCCGGAAGCATATAAGAAATCCTGCTATGCCCTCCGATGAACCATCAAACAGGCAAAGCGTCAATACAGGACTACGATCGAATCGTACTACACCAGCTCCGACGCTCGTCGGATGTGGCAGGGCTTGCAAACTATTACAGACTACAAAGGGAAGCACAGCCGCGAGCTGCCCAGTGACACGAGCCTACCAGACGAGCTAAATTACTAATATGCTCGCTTTGAGGCAAGTAACACTGAAACATGCATGAGAGCATCAGCTGTTCCGGACGACTGTGTGATCACGCTCTCCGTAGCCGATGTGAGTAAGACCTTTAAACAGGTCAACATTCACAAGGCCGCAGGGCCAGACGGATTACCAGGATGTGTACTCCGAGCATGCGCTGACCAACTGGCAAGTGTCTTCACTGACATTTTCAAACTCTCCCTGTCGGAGTCTGTTAAACCAACATGTTTCAAGCAGAACACCATAGTCCCTGTGCCCAAGAACACTAAGGTAACCTGCCTAAATGACTACCGACCCGTAGCACTCACATCTGTAGCCATGGTCATGGCTCACATCAACACCATTATCCCAGAAACCCTAGACCCACTCCAATTTGCATACCGCCCCAACCGATCCACAGATGATGCAATCTCTATTGCGCTCCACACTGCCCTTTCACACCTGGACAAAAGGAAAACCTATGTGAGAATGCTATTCATTGACTACAGCTCAGCGTTCAACACCATAGTGCCCTCAAAGCTCATCACTAAGCTAAGGACCCTGGGACTAAACACCTCCCTCTGCAACTGGATCCTGGACTTCCTGATGGGCCGCCCCTAGGTGGTAAGGTTAGGTAACAACACATCCGCCACGCTGCTCCTCAACACGGGGGCCCCTCAGGGGTTCGTGCTCAGTCCCCTCCTGTACTCCTTGTTCACTCATGACTGCATGGCCAGGCACGACTCCAACACCATCATTACGTTTGCCGATTACACAACAGTGGTAGGCCTGAAAACCGACAACGACGAGACAGCCTATAGGAGGAGGTCAGAGACCTGGCCGTGTGGTACCAGGACAACAACCTCTCCCTCAACGTGATCAAGACAAAGGAGATGATTGTGGACTACAGGAAAAAGAAGAGGACCGAGCATGCCCCCGTTCTCATCGACGGGGGCCACATCACCAACAAACTAACATGGTCCAAGCACTCCAAGACAGTCGTGAAGAGGGCACGACAAAACCTAAGGAGACTGAAAAGATTTGGCATGGGTCCTCAGATCCTCAAAAGGTTCTACAGCTGCACCATCGAGAGCATCCTGACTGGTTGCATCACTGCCTGGTATGGCAACTGCTCGGCCTCCGACCGCAAGACACTACAGAGGGTAGTGCGTACGGCCCAGTACATCACTGGGGCCAAGCTTCCTGCCATCCAGGACCTCTATACCAGGCGGTGTCAGAGGAAGGCCCTAAAAATTGTCAAAGACTCCAGCCACCCTAGTCATAGACTGTTCTCTCTGCTACCGCACGGCAAGCGGTACCGGAGTGCCAAGTCTAGGTCCAAGAGGCTTCTAAACAGCTTCTACCCCCAAGCCATAAGCCTCCTGAACATCTAATCAAATGGTTACCCAGACTATTTGCATTGCCCCCCCCACCCCTCTTTTACA